GTTGAGGAATGCTCCAGCGGCATTCATGGACCTCATGCACAGGGTGTTCCAACCCTATTTAGATCAATTTGTTGTAGTTTTTGTTGATGACATCTTGATCTACTCCAAGTCTGAGGAGGAGCATGAGGGTCACTTGAGGATTGTTCTCCAGACAATGAGAGAGCATCAGTTGTACGCCAAGTTTAGCAAGTGTGAATTTTGGCTTACAGAGGTAAAGTTTTTGGGGCATGTAGTGTCAACTTCAGGTGTATCTGTGGACCCGGAAAAGGTTGAGGCAGTTATGAATTGGGAGAGACCGAAGTCAGTCTTTGAGATACGTAATTTTTTGGGATTGGCGGAATACTACCGACGATTTATTGAGGATTTCTCCCGATTGGCTGCGCCTATGATGAAGTTGACCCGGAAAGAGGTCAAGTTTGTGTGAAATGATTCTTGTGAGAATGCATTCCAAGAGTTGAAAAGGAGGTTTACTTCGGCTCCTATTCTGATAGTTCCAGAACGAGGACAGAGGTACACGATCTATTGTGATGCCTCGAAGGACGGGCTGAGATGTGTTTTAATGCAGTCCAGGAGGGTAGTAGCTTATGATTCTCGGCAGCTAAAGAATCACGAGCAGAATTACCCCACACATGACATGGAGTTGGCGACCATTGTCTTTGCCTTGAAGGCTTGGCGTCACTACCTGTATGGCAAGCAGTTTGAAGTGTTTTCAGACCACAAGAGTCTGAAGTATATTTTCACTCAGCGGGACCTCAACATGAGGCAACGCAGGTGGATGGAGTACCTAGAGGACTACGACTTCACTTTGCATTACCATCTTGGTAAGGCAAACGTGGTGGTTGATGCACTTAGCCGGAAGTCACGGGGAGTTATGGCTAGTATGGCTTCCCGGGAGTGGAGGATGCTCGAGACTGTGGGATAGTTTAGATTATGTTATATGGGTCAGGCTCAGGGTACTTTGGGGAGTTTGGTGGCTACGCCGTCTCTACTGAGCAGGGTGATTGAGTCCCAGGGACAAGCTACTAAGTTAGTGTCCATTAGGGACCGAGTACGATTGGGTACGGGTGATGAAGGCTGGGTCATTCACACAGATGGTAGTCTTTGGTTCAGGGGACGGATTGTGGTTCCCTAGTCTGCGGAGCTTAGAGATGAGATCCTCAGGGAATTTCATTTCTCCCGTTTTGCAGTTCATCCAGGGAGCACGAAGATGTATCATGATCTTCGTCGCCAGTATTACTGGAGTGGAATGAAGAGGTAGGTTGACGACTTTGTCAGTCGATGTCTCACATGTCAGCAGGTTAAGGCTGAACACCAGAGACCAACAGGTTTACTCCAGCCTTTGGAGGTAGCTGAGTGGAAGTGGGAATATATCACGATAAATTTTGTGACCCATTTTCCACGGACATCACGAGGTCATGATGCGGTGTGGGTGATAGTGGACCGGCTTACTAAGTCAGCACACTTTTTAGCTGTGCGGATGACCTTCACACTGGAGGAATTCTGTAGGTTGTATATGCAGAAAATTGTCCGGCTGTATGGAGTACCCGTATCTATTGTATCGAACCGAGATCCCAGGTTTACGACTCATTTTTGGGAGAGTTTCCAGCGAGCCATGGGGACACAGTTAATGATTAGCACTACTTTCCATCCCTAGACAGACGGTCAGTCTGAGAGGACTATCCGATTTTAGAGGACATGCTACGGGCATGCGTCCTAGATCTCAAGAGTAGAAGATCACTTACCCTTGGTAGAGTTCGCATACAATAACAGTTACCAGGCGAGCATACAGATGACACCCTATGAGGCGCTATATGGGAGGCCATGTCGTTCTCCGATTTGTTGGACGGAGGTAGGAGAGAGGTCTTCTACAGGTCCGGAATTGGTTAGAGACACCTCGGAGAAGGTGGACTTGATTCGGAAGCGTCTTCTCATGGCTCAAAGCCGGCAAAAGAGCTATGCTGATAGACGACGGCGACCTCTAGAGTTTGAGGTGGGAGATCATGTCTTCTTGAAGGTTATGCCTAAGAGAGGAATGGTCCGGTTTGGTAAGCGGGGGAAGCTGTTGCCGAGATACATCGGGCCCTTCGAGGTACTTGAGAGAGTGGGTACAGTTGCTTACCGGTTGGCGTTACGCCAAATCTATCAGGTGTTCATGCAGTATTCCATGTCTCTATGCTCCGAAAGTATACTCCAGATCCGACACATGTGGTGGATTGGGGTGAGTTGACTGTTGATGTGGATGGGACCTTCGAGGAGGGACGGTGGGCATCATAGATAGTCGGGAACAGGTTTTACGAGGCAAGACCGTGTGGCTAGTGAAGGTGTTATGGCAGCATCGAGGAGTAGAAGAGGCGACATGGGAGCTCGAGGACACTATTCGTACCAATTACCCTTTCTTGTTTGAGGATGGAGGTACATTGTTATGGTCATTTAGCATTAATTGACTGTTGCATATGCATGTGATTGTATGTGCATGTGTATGTGAATTTCGGGGACGAAATTCTTTTAAGGGGGGAAGAATGTGAAACCCTGGAAAAATTTGAATTTTTTCTGAAAAAAGGGCAAATTGGTAATTTTCTATCCTAATGCGTATTTAAAATACATATTTTTATAGAGCTCGGATGGGACAATGGACCTCACCGTTGAATTCGCATCGCGAAACCTAGCTGCCCTGTCAATTTTCGTCGAATTTCGAGATAGTCGAGTTTTTTACATTTTTCGAGGCGAGGGGCGTCCGGTGACCCCCAAAAACGAAATTTTAATAAAAATTTTGAAAGTTGAAAAATATTTTAAATAAAGTTCATATAAAATATTTTGAGCTTAAACCGGTACAAAATAAATCGTTTCGGGCAAAAACGGACCCGAATCAGTGAGGGACATGTGGCGCGACTCGGGCCAAGTATTGGAAAGTATAAATAGGGGCTAAATCAGATATTTTGCTGAAGGATCTCTACATTTAAGCTGGTTCCAACGTGTGAGAGCAAGAGGGAGAGAAAAAGGGAGAAAACAAATCCTCTTTTGCCGATTCTCGGAGTTCCGTCGCTCGGATCAACTCGGACCAAGAGCCAAAGTTCATCTCCTCGACGAGGGCTACGCATACGTACCAAAAAGAGTAGATTTCACCGAAGATCCAAGAGGAGAATTTGAAGAAAATCAAAACTTTGAGGTTGATTTGATGTTATAGAAGTTCTAACACTTCTATTGAGGTAGGGTTCCCTCCTACCTTAGTTTTATTCTTACCTTAAGTGGGCTTTTAGTGGCTGAAATTGGTTTATATGTGGGCTGTCCAAGGGCTGTCCAAATGGACTGTTTTGGTGCTGAAATTGGGGCTATTTTGTGCACTAATTAGGGACTGTTAAGGGGCTGAATTTGGGTTGTTTAAGGGGCTGTTAAAGGGCTGAATTATGGACTATTTTTAGGCCATGTTATGGACTGAAATTGTGACTATTTTTGGACTGTTTTTGTGAACTATTTTTAGGCTATTTTGTGGGCTATATACGAGCTGTTATATGGTGGTTTGTATGAGCTGTTTTGTGGTTTAGATAAGAGTCGTTACGTGGGCTATTACATGGGCCGTTATGTGTTATATTATGCCTTAATGATTAGGTGTGTTATTAGCCTAAAAGTTGTGATATCACTTGCCTATGATTATGAAAGTAAAATTATGGACTTATGACATGATTTATGATTAAAAATGCAATTGTTGGTATATGCATGTTATGATATATTGAATTTGTGACAAATATGGTATCTATATGCTTAGAACATAACTTATCATGATATGTTGAGATTGTTTATATGTCATTCATAGTATATTGAATATTGTATCATTGTGCATAGAGGCATCACATTCATGGGCATAAGTCATGAGTGTGGGTGTGTGAGATGCATGGTTGATCAAACACCTTGTTTGGTGGTTGGTATGTGGGTTCGGGAAAAAGTGGATTGAAGATCCCCTTTGAGTCGCATGGTTGCATGGAAGAAAACTTGTGTCGAGTATAGCAAGTAGGGCTAGACTCTCCCTCGGGTGCAAGATCCGGCGACTTGGTTATACACTCTTCTGTGGTGAAATTCTAAAAAAGTGTAGTATGGTATACGGAACCAGCGGTATAAAATTCAAAATTCGTTGCCCAATAAGACACAAGATTTTGATTTATAAGAAAATACTCATTTAATGAGTACCATCCAATAATGATCTGATTTATAAAACGCATGATTTTTTATTCAAAGGGATCATTGGATGTATTTCCGTCGAAAACGGGTCATTACAGATTGGTATTGCATTGTGTTGTGGAAGTCAGTGAGGACTTGGGTTTAAGTGCATGAGTGAGTATCATCTTATTTCATGGCATGACATGATTGCATTTCGACATTGAATACATATTCTTGTATGAATGGTTGTTAAATGTTAAATGTTGCTTATACACATTGCATATGCATTTAAGGTGGGGAGTAGCTCTAGTAGGAGTTTTTCTCTACTGGGCGTTGGCTCACCCTATACGGGAAATATTTCAGGTAAGGGTCATACGCCGAGGGACGGCATTTACTCGGGCACTTAAGGAGGAAGAAAAGCCGACTTGTGGCTTTCAATCCATTTTTTTTTGTAAAATTAGACTTGTAATTAAAATTTGGCATGTAATGTATAAAGGAATTGTGATAGAATCTATATCGACTGTTTTAATATAATCTTGCATATTTGTATGAATATGGATAATTGGACCCGGTGTGACCAATGTTTATTTATAAATGGACCCGGTGTGGTCATTGTTGAATATAGGACCTCGGATGGGTCTTGTTAGTATATAATGCACAGGTTGTATTTTGAGTAGAGTTCTCCTTACAAAGGAGACTTTGTCCAAATTTTTAATAAGGATGGACCCCGATAAATAGGGCATAACGTTGAGATATCGAGTTACTCGGTATCCACGGGCATTCCGCGGGTTGATGAGTAATCAATGGACCCCAGATTTTGGGGTGTCACGAGACAGGGTTCCATTAGCTGGAATAGCAAAAGAGGAGGGAGAACCAGAGCAGTCAGCAGCTTGCAGGTTGTTTAGAACTTCAGTTTGCTCTCTCATCAAACTTGACTCATTCAAGGCAGATATTTCACTTATTTCCTTTCCTTTATCTCCTTTAGATATATGCTGCAAAACTTCCTTAGGAATTCCTTCGTTGTTGATTCGTTGTTGAATTTCATTCTAGGGCAGCTAGACACATTGTGCCAAAAGATATTGCATGAACAACATACTTTAGGTTTCTATTGGTATTCCACCATAATTTCCACCATTTTTGATCCACCATCAACATCCAGTTGTAGGTCAAAAGACTCCACAAGCTTGGTATTAGCCTTAACTTCAACAAAAACTCTAGCAAAGGATATTCTCTTCTTATTAGCAGTAAAAGAATCTGTATGCGAGGGCTTGCCAACTGCACTAGTAATGTAACTCAACCCATCATCTCTCTAGAATTGCAGAGGAACATTGTGCAGCTTAACCCACAGAGGAATCATAGATTGATCCTCTTTAGAGAGGATGAGGTCAACATGCAATTTTTTGAGGATAAGTGGCCTACCTGAGAAAAGCCATGGACCCTCTTTGAAAACCTTAGTTTTGGAGATATCATCTATAAATTTGAAGAAAAAGAACTCTTTTCCATCAGCAAGAACTTCAAGAAGCCCCATTCTATCCCATATCCTATAGGCAATATTATTAACCACTGAGTACAAAAGCTTTTTCTCAACAAAATACCCAACCAAGGATGTCTCCCATACAAGGCATCCCTTATTTAGCACTTCCTTGGGTGTTTTAACCACAATGCGTTCATTGTCCTTAGGGGGCTCAAAATACTGCAACTTCATCTTTGGGAAAGACTTTCCCATTTGTGGTTGCTGAGCAGCATCCTTGCCATGCTTAACAACTTGACTCCAAGAACCAGCAATTGTCACTGGCTTTTCCTGGTTTTGAAGGGTTTCCACAACTAGGTCATCAATAGTTGCACGGAGAGGAGCATTTAGAGTCCCTTTAGGCAGAACATTGGTAGCGAGGGGGACAATTCCTCTATTACTGGAACCATCAATGTTATTCAGGGTTGGAACAGGGGTGGTAATGATGACTCTGTCATTTCGCATATTCCTGCCCACTGACTGGGAAAGAGATGTAGATGCATGGGGATTCATAAGAAATTAAAGATGGGAAGGAGTACAGGAGTAGAGTTTGGGAAGCATTTTAGGAATTTTTGGTGGTGGGGCTGGTTCTAGTGGGAGAGTTGGTGGCGGTGGTGGACTTGGTGGGTGGGGGTCGTGGTGGAGGAGGAGGATTAGGGATAATAATTAGGGATAATAAGTGTATAATATTTAAACTTTACTATTTCATATAGATATAGATAATTAAATGTAATTATACTACTAATAAATGAGTTCAAAAGAATTTAGAAATTTATGTACAACATAATCCAAAATAAGTTAAAAGTCAAACAGGTGTAAAAAAACAAAAATTGGATAAAATTATATGGGTGAGTATAATTAACTTTATCATAATAATTAGGGATAATAAGCGCAAGAAGTGTGTCTATAGTTGCTCTGACTTCTCTCTACTTTCTCTCTCTAAGCAATCGAAGATTTGACAAAGACAGATGCTTCAATGATCACATCTAAACCCACTTCCACCCCTAATTACCCCACTGAGATGGAGGAGGACCCCATGAAAACCCAAAAAAGGACAGAAGAGGAAGATGACCATCTTGAGAGGAGCATAAAGAAAATTAAAGAAACCCATAAAAGTCAAGAAGGGGAAGAGATGCAAGTGGACGTGCAATAGAGTACTCCACTCATAGATAACCAAAAGCCTGAGCAACCACCACCTGTAAAGGAACTTCCCCTACAAAACTACAAAGCAGCCTTGATGGAAGACAGTAGTGCAATCTACTTTGATGAAGAAAATTATGAAGAATCTACTGATGAGGAAGAGGCAAAAAGTAACCCCAAAAGCCCCACTAACCGAAGCTCTTCATCAATTGACTTCTTAGATGATACTTGCCCCTCCATCAATTTGTCACAAAAAACTTTATGGAGAATTAGGAGAAAATGGAAAGATGGACTATTGGTAAAGATTCTAGGGAGAAGCATCGTCTACAAGGTCCTATGTATGGAAGTTAGAAACTTATGGAATCTACAAGGAGACTTCGATGCAATTGATCTTGACAATAAATTCTTTCTTTTCAAATTTCACTTGAAGGAGGACTGTTTTAAATTTTTTACAAGAGGCCCATGGATTATCATGAACCACTATCTTACTGTGAGAAAATGGGAACCCATCTTCACCCCCACCAAGGCATTGGAATTTTCAATGGCATTATGGCTGAGACTTCCGGAGCTACCTCTTGAATACTATGACGAGAGAATCCTCTATCAGATAGCAAAGGTTCTAGGGAAACTAGCTAAGGTGGACACTAAAACAACTACAGCAGAGAGAGGCAAGTACGCCATAATATGTATGGAAAGAGACCTCAACAAACCATTGATTCCTAATTACAAACTAGGGGAAAAGATCTTTAGGGTAGAATATGAATGTATTCACTCGATTTGCTTTAGCTGTGGAAGGGTTGGACACAAAGAAACGTATTGCTCATACTTTGCGAGAAAAACTAACTCCCTAGGTCCTGCCAGAGAAACCATCTCACTGGAAAGATCACTATCATAGGCGCCACTAACATAGCTGGGTTAGGACGGCTACTTGCAAATAAGAACGTTCTGACAGTGACAACCCATCAATAAGCAGGAGAAGAAGACTATGGGCCTTGGATGTTGGCCGAACCCAGGAGAAGAAAAGGTCAAATTAACAAGAAAGATAATGGGCCTAACAAGACCCAAAGTCTTAACAGATTTAAAGCCCTCGAGTCAACTGACACAGAACCACAATAGTACCAAACCCAAGAGGAACCCAGTAACAACAACCAAAACCACATCAGAGGAAACCTATCATCCTTGAACCCCAAAGTTGGTTCCAGTAGAAAAGGAGAGCAGACGAGCAAATCCTAATGGATCTAGATTCCCAAAAACCAGATCTGACCCCTCGACAACAACACAGAGATCCAATGATGTACAAGATTCCTCGATTTCAGCACATAATCACACGGTTGAAACTCCACCATCGGGTCACCTCGTTTTCCACTCCCATTCACAACCCCATTCCATATATCCTTACTATACCAAACTCCCCAGATCTCACCATTAACCTTCACCACCATAACCTTGACCTAAACACATCACCTAGAGCCCTCAAGAACCCTAAGCCACTTGATCGGAATGGAGTAACCCCGTTGAGGTTCTTCAACCTGGACTTAAGCCCAATAGATCTAATGTTCAGAGCGAGGATTGTGAGCAAATGGCTTGTGAGTACCATCTGGATGATCAATGAAGTTTCACTAGAGATACAACCATGTGTACTCAGGGATATAATGAATAGGCTCACAGTGGTTTCAGTGATGCCTTTGGTTCCCCTCATAGAGAAAGTGAACCAAATCAGGGCCATCTTGAACCTGGATGAAGACTCCCATCCCCCACTCGCTTTTATGGCGCATTCCATGAAGATATTGTCCTGGAACTATAGAGGATTTGGTAATGAAATATTTTAAAGAGCCTTTGATGATATTTTTAGAGCCCATATACCAGAAATAGTGGTGCTTATGGAAACCAAAGTCCCTAGCTCTCAACTGGGAAACTTCTTCTCTCAATTTGGCCTAACTATGGTTGAAAAAGTTGGACCTGAAGGTAGAGCTGGAGGTCTATGGTTGATATAGGATCCTATACTGGTAACTATGACCATACACCAATCCACAACCTAAGTCATCCATGCCCACATAACTCAGTTAGACTTTGATGAATGGTTGTTCTTAGCAATTTACGGTAGCCCCAACCCCTCGAATAGAGACCACCTCTGGGACAACCTAAGTCTAGTTGGAGACAACTATTCTCATGGTTGGATGGCCACTGGAGACCTTAACGATTACTCTAGCCACTCGAAGAAAAGAGGAAGACATTCAAACCATAGCAACAGAACCAGGAAATTTAGAGAAAGGATCAACAAATGTGGCCTCATTTACCTAGGGTGCAGTGGACCAAGACTCACTTGGAATAACAAGAGAAAATAGCTAGCAAACACTAAAATAAGGTTGGACAGAGCATTGACGAACACTCAATGGACCACTCAGTTCCTTGAAGCAAGTGTCTAGAATCTCCCCAGAACCTACTCTGATCTTTGCCCACTTCTGATCCATGCCAAAGGTAACCCTTCTCCCTCTACTATTTCTAGACCTTTTAGAATGGAAGCGATCTGGTTAACAAGGCCTGACTTCAAAGATGTTGTGATAAATACGTGGAGCCATTCAAATAATTCCCTTATTCAAGCTACTGCTAACTTTGCTAAAACTGCTAAAGAATGGAATTCAACTTCATTTGGAAATATATTTCGATGGAAAAGAAGAGTCCTTGAAAGACTAGAGGGAATACAAAAAGCTCAAGAAACAAAACACATTCACAAACTTGAGAGACTCGAAGAATAACTCTTAATTGAATATGACCAAATTCTGAAACAAGGAGAAATCCTCAGGGACCAAAAATCAAGCTCCAAATGGATCACGTTGGGGGTTAGGAATACCAATTATTGCCATGTCTCCATAATAATAGGAAGAAAGAAAAATAGACCCCATAGCCTGAAAAACGTGCAGGGTATTTGGATCTCAGAGAAATCAAAAATTTAGCAAGTCATTCAGACGTACTTTGGATCTTTTTGGCACTAAAAATATTGGTGAACTAGAAGATCTTCACAGTTACTCTCATCCTATATTGAACATTGTTGAGAACCAAATCCTAAAAGTTCCTATCACTAACTATGAAATTAAAAGAGCAACCTTTAACATTAAGGCAAATAAAACCCCAGGTCCAGATGAGCTTCAAGCCATTTTCTATCAGAAATACTTGGATGTGGTGGGGGATTTAGTTTGCAACCAAATTAAAGATATAATCAGTTCGAGAAAATGCCCTAAAGAAATGAATGAAACATGGATCACACTAATCCCCAAGAATGAAAATCCAACCATGGCCTATGAAAATCCAGTTCAGACTAATAATTCTTTGTAATGTGAGCTACAAAATCCTCACCAAACTCCTAGTGGCTAGACTCAGACCTTTCCTGGACAAACATATAGTCCCAATCAAAGCAGTTTCATACCTGGAAGACAGACCACTAATAATGTCATCATCACCCAAGAAATTATCCATATAATTAAAAGGAAAAAAGGGAAGGTGGGGGATATGGTTATCAAAATTGATCTTGAGAAAGCCTATGAAAGGGTAAATTGGACCTTCCTTCACCAAACTCTTATGGATTTTAATTTCACAGCCTCTTGGATTGATATCATTGTGAGCTATGTCATTGGATCCTCACTTTCTATTTTTTGGAATGGTGAACCACTCAATCCTATTACACCTAAGAGGGGCCTTAGGCAAGGGGACCCTTTGTCACCCTATCTCTTCACGCTATGTATGGAAAAGTTGGGACATTTAATTAACAGAAAAGTGGAAGAGAAACTTTGAAAAGGAATCAAAGCTTCTAAGAATGGACCTTCAATTACTCACCTCTTCTTTGCAGATGATATCATCATTTTTTTAGGGCAACTGAAAAGGAATGTGATATGATAAAGGAAGTCCTTGGAAACTTCTGCAACATTTCATAATAGAAAGTTAGCCTAGCCAAGTCCAGGGTGTTTTTTTCTCCCAATATCTGTAGAAATAAAGCTAGACACCTAAGCAGAAGAAGTAGTCTCACTAGTACTGAGGACTTAGGCAAATACTTAGGTATCCCAATCCTGTATTATAGAACAAATAAGGATACCTACAACTTCCTTATTGAAAAAATCCAAACTAAGCTCAGTGGATAGAAGACAAAAAACCTTTCCATGGCAGGGAGGGAAACACTCATCAAAGTTGTTACATCCACGTTCCCAAATTATACCATGCAGACCACATGGTTACCCTAATCCACATGTGACAAAATTGACAAACTCAATAGGAACTTCTTGCGGGGAGATACTGAAGAAAAGAAAAAGGTCCACCTCATTAATTGGGATACTGTATGCAATCCTAAGGAGAAAGGAGGGCTAGGCCTTAGAAAAACAAGAGTGAACAACCTTGTTATCCTTACTAAATTGGGATGGAATATCAAGGCTAACAAAGATAATTTGTGGACTAGAGTCATTAAGGAAAAATACATCAAAAATACCTCCCTAGATTAGGAACATAAGTCCAGTGGCTCCCCAATTTGGAGTGATATTCTCAAAACAAAACATATTATCAAAGAAGGAACTAAATGGCTTATCAGTGATGGTAAAAATATTTCTTTTTGGACTGATTGGTGGTGTGGATAAACTTCTATTGTCAATAGAATGCAGATACCAGCCACAACTGACTCCAACACCCCAGTGGCAAACTTCCTTGACTCCACATGTAACTGGAACTTGAATCTCCCAGGTATGTCTCTCTCCCTAAAATTTTATCAGATATTCAGCTCACCTGTATCCCTATAAATTGCAATCTGAAGGACACTCCATGTTGGGGAATTTCAAGTAACGGTAATTTCTCTGTTTGTTCCACTTATAAATAAATCTTTGAATCTGGGGAGGATAATAACCCCTCGACTCTGAGCTGGGACTAGATTTGGCACATGAAAATCCCACAGAAACTCAAGGTCTTCCTCTGGATCGTCCAAAGTGATAGAATCCTATCCAACAACCTTAGAGCAACCAGGAACATGACTAATGATCCAACCCGTGAGAGATGTAAAACCCACTGTGAATCCACCTTACATATTCTAAGGGATTGCTCCAAAGCATAGGCAGTTTGGAGAGTTTTCCTAGGTAACAACTGGTCCAGTTTCTAACCGATAATGACCTGCAAAAATGGCTCCTTGCGAATCACAAAAACAAAAGAAAGGAAAAGTGGAAAGGAGTGGAATGGTCTATTGTTTTTACCTCGGTCAGTTGGCACATCTAGAAAGACAGGAACAAGGAGTGTTTTGAAAAAACTCAAATCCCCCCTAGTGTCACTGTCATATATGCCTGGCTTATGGCCCAAGAGATTAACTCTAACTTCCTTAATAATTTAAATTGTCATGATCCTTGCTTAGAAAATCTTATTAGTTGGTCTTTCCCTTCCACAGGATGGATGAAACTAAATGTTGATGGGTGCTCCAAAGGGAATCTGGGACCTGCAGCATTTGGAGGTCTTGTGAGAAGTGACCAAGGAGTTTGGCAGCTGGGTTTCTATGGAAGACTCCCTAACTGCTCAAGGATACAAGCTGAATTATGGGCCATCTATAAGGCCTTCAGATTACTCATACCAAGGGGATAAAGAAGATCACTGTGGAGACCGATTCTATGGAAGCTCATAGACTCCTCACGACAATGCTGGAAGACACACACCCGGAGAGAGAGATCATCTTTGAATGCAAAAGGCTCCTCACCCTTCTCAATTATCCCATCCAACACACCAAAAGAGAAGGAAACTTCAGTGCAAATAAGCTTGTTAATTTAGGTGTCAAACAAAATGATATTTTTGTGCTCCTCAACTCCCACCTTGCTTGTTGGGAGAGCTTTTGAGAAATGATAGTGCATGTATTGCCTATGTGAGAGGCTTTTGACTCTTTTGAACTCTTCCAATGTACTGAAAAAAAATTATGGATAAAATAAGATATTAAAATTTTTTCGCAGATACTGACATTTATAAGTAGTATAAATATAGATACAATGATGTTGCTACAATACTAGAGAGATTAAGAGATAAAACACATCTCAAACTAAAATATTTTATTTTAGGACTACTTAATAGTGTTTTGACCATAAGCCATTAAAGCTCATTATTCAGGCTACAAAATTAAAAAAAATTGATAAATCTTCTGATATATGTGATGTGCGTCTAAATGAACATCTTATATAGGGCGAATCTATCTATTGCAGAGATACATGTATCCAAGATGTATCTAACAATGATAAATATTTTATTAATTATTTGATAAGTGTATAAAAAGTATCCAATACGTATCCACGAGTTTCCAATAAGTATTGGTATCTAATAAGTGTGGGATACGGATACGTCACCGTAATCGAAGTATCCATATTTTATAGCTTTTCAGTTTAACCGATATTGAACTTTTATGAAATGTAAGATTCGCCAACTTCCATTTTGATTGTCCCTTAAGATTAACATTGGAGGTGTCAACGTTGCAAAGACCATCATGCGCCCTGAAAAGGACAGGAAAAAAGATCTTTGTTCTGTTCTCTTCCAGATTCATAGGAAAAAAAAGGTTGGTCTTTTAAACTGCCATGATATATAATCGACATCTAATAGATACCTAAAGAGAAAATCTTGTCAAAAAGAAAGGGCTAAAGCTTGATTTGGAGGTAAAAACATTAGTTTCTACTTTCAATTATGGCCATAATCATAGCCAAAACAGTTGATTAGTATTGAGTTTGGCCCAGTTCATCAGAATCAGTTTTGAATACAAATTTTCACTCTCAGAGTCGTCATAGCTGCATCTTGTTGCAGAGCAAGCATAAGCATATATCCTATTTGTTTTGTCTTGGACAACTACTGGCCGAAAGTGTGAGAGAACAACTGAAGTGAAAAGTGGCAACATGATGATGAAAAACAAATATTACCAGGAACAGAATATTTCTTGTGATTTGCTGTCCATTGATTGGGCTTGTTAAGACATCATACAGATCTATAACGGCTTAGATTTTGGGTGCCCTATGTGTGAAAACCTAGGAAAAAAACTTATAAACATTCAGATGTGTGGTATGTACCCAGCAAATTGGAAATAATGTTCTTCATCCAAAAACATTTTAGATGAATATCAGCACAACCTTGCCTAATCCTCCAACTCTTGTGTGCATGGGACCGTCGTGAAGTTTTGCTGCTGTTTTAGTGATGCACTTGGAAAAATACTCGTTGAGGCACTCATTTTTATTTGTATGAGTTGATTTTTGTCTAACTTAATTGAAATGCCTTCATTTTGGGTGATTATTTTTATCATTTCCAAATAAGTGCATATAAAAACCACACAGCATAAAAGTTGCTGTTTCTTGGTTTTTTTTTTCCATCTTCTTGAAAACTCGAGGAAATACAAAAATTAGATAAAATTTTTTACATATCTAAGCATTATGGCTTTTGATCTGTGTTATTGGAGAGCTCTGTGTGCTCTGTTGTTTATTCCGCAGGCCATTATCACTGAGACACCTTGCCTTTTTTGAAAATTGTTTGGCCAGGAGCTAGGATCGCTAGAGGGTCATAGGTGGATTTCCTCCGGAGGAAGACTTCCCATTTATAGCCGAAATGGATTTTCCACTCTTCCTGTGTAAGGTAATGGGGCAAGTATTTCTTCACTCCGAGATTGGCCATTTGCAGAAATCCAGAATTCTTTTGTTTTGGCTGAGGATGTATTCTAAGCCATCTGTCCCTGTGGAACATGGCATTGCAGAGGATAGGAACGCCACTAGGTATAGAACATCTTCCTCTGGGGTGATCATAGAAGTCCTGTTGTTCCACCTGCAGTACAAAATTGATTGGAATTCAGGTTGTGAACTCCATATGTGATATAGAGATCTGATTGAGTTAATGAATTAGTACTTGGATTTGTTAAATGGGTAGATCAGTATAGGACCATTGCTAGTGTCTGTGATAATGTTTCCAAAAACTTCCTGGGCAAATTCATGTATTCTACTTCTGGGAATGATCAGACTGAGCCATGGATGAGGATGATCCCACAACCCCATTTCTTGGAGTTTTAACATGGAAACATGCAGTCTGTCCAGGAATTCGACATATGAGACTTCAGATAGGAAGAGTGTAAACTCAATGTAGCTCAATTCTGACAGCAAGCTGTCAACTTTCTGCATAAATAGAAAGACACAGGTCAAGATGTGGTCATTGATTTTTTCGATCAAATTACCCTTTTTTTTGTAAGTTAGTCCTTTTTTTTAATAAAAAATCTTGAAAATGTGTTTTGCAAACACGATTTCCCTTATAAAGCTTGGATTCAAACAGCACTTCTATGTAAACAATGCTAGATTAGGAAATCGGTTAGAAATCGGGGTCCACATGGAATAGAGTGAGGATTGTGCAAAGGTATTGGAAGCATGATATGGCTGGTGAGTAAGTCTCACCTGGTTCATGAAATCAATCTCTTGAGGGTTGAAGTATTTGGCCATTTCTAGACAGAATAGAGTTTTTCCATCAGAAATGAACTGGCTGGCTTGAACTGGGTCCTTTGGATTGAAAGTGGATCTCCAGCTATTTACTAAATCAGTTCTGTTTATGATGACAAATCCTTCTATGTAGTCAAAAGCATTCTGGGATGATATGAGATGCTCTTGGTCCTTGGTAAATATGGAAAAATCTGAGTAGAGCACTCTAATCCACTTCACCTGTCAAAAGAAAGTGAAAAAATAGATTACAACATCATTCTTGTGGTACTTGGATTCTATTTTTTTGGGCCCCGGGAGGGCGGTTGGTAGTGACGGTGACTGGTGGTGGTGGTGGCGGCGATGATTTTGGTGGTGGTTTATCACCAAGAAACAGATTGTTAAGTTTCTTTACCATTATAGGTGCAGGTTCTAGGGAAATTCTAGCCCTGGTGATGATGCCAAATTGTCCCAGTCCTCCAAGAACACCGTAGAAAAGGTCAGTCTTCTGCTTCTCTGAACAGGTGACCACCTCTCCTGTTCCTGCACTTACAAAACGTATCAGACATATAGTTATTGAAAGGATCGATACAACCCTGTTATATACCAGACCTAATACCTTTTGATCGATATTAGGTAGATTTAAAAAATATATTAAAAATTATTAATAATTATCCATCCTTGAGACACTATATTACTCGTAAAAAATTATAAATATTTTTTCATAAGTAAATATAATATATAATACAATTTTAATAATATATAGACCAAATTGATATTGCTTAACCTATATGCAAAACATATATTATCAAATTTTATATAACGAATGTCACGCTTTAACTTCTGCAACATATTAATTAAAAAATTTGAGAAAATATAATTATTATTAATCAAACATCTACAATTTTAATATTTTTAATAAATTTTATCTCAAATTTCAAAAAAAATATAATTATTTATTTTTCTACAGGTTTTTACTTAAACTTCGTACCATAATCTCTACACCATGTTACTTTTGAGAGGAAAATATCCAAAGGTTTTACATGAATTCTCATAAATATAAAAAATTTTGTTGAGAAACTAAAATCGATTTCTATTTGAGCTCAACTTAAATATTCATAAAATTTAATTGAATTTAAGTTTGGGTGGAGCTATTCTCACCCATAAATCTCCATTTTCACTCAAATTAATTTTTTATCATCAAACTACTAAACTCACCTTTTTATACTCACCCCATTAACAACTAAGTCTACAACATGCTACATACACCTCATTTTATAAATAAACTCACATTATATTTTGTCATAATTAAGGTTTCATTCTTTATTTCATCTCATGCACTCACACGAATACTTTTTCAAAGAGACACATATTAGTATCACTTCTCAATTTAATTCTATGTTTGATTTCTAATTTTTTGTTTGTATTTTCAATATGTTTTGATATGTCTGTCAAATTTATTAATTTTTTATTTATAATTTATATGTATATATATATATATATATATATATATATATATATATATATATATATATATATATATATATGTTTTCAGATTATTTGTTCTTTTTTTTATCTTGTTTAAGTTTGGCATCTATGCTTGTTATTTTTTTTCTTATTCGATTTTGTGTTTGTGTTTAATAATTTTTTTTTCATATCTAATTTTACGTTTTGTAGTTTTACTTGTTTCTTTAATTTTTGCTTGATTTTTTTTCTTTCTTGTTTCGCTTTGCTTCTTCTTCTTCTTTTTTTTTTTTTTTTCCTTGTTTCGCTTTCTTTCTTTTTAAAAAGGCTGTATATAGGATAGGGTGAACTTAGTTAATAACTGGGTGGGTATAGAAAGGGTGGATAGTTTTATAATGAAAAATTAAATGGGGTGGGCACGGAGATTTAAAGGGTGGGAATAACTCCACTCTTTAAGTTTAAGCAAGAATTTATATTTTATACTTGATGGTTAAATTTAGCTCAATTCGAGTCTTAATCATAATTACGTCAAACTGAGAATTGAACTTAAATTCGACTCAATTAACACTTATATATTAAACATATAAACTAATTTTTATCACCATAACTTTTTTTTTAATTTAATTATTCTTTATTACTGTTATGATTAATTTTAATTTGACTTCAACTCGAATACTCTTGTAAAATTCAGGGAATGTTAAGTTTAAAAAAGAATATACACTTTATATTTGGTAATTAAATTCAACTCAATTCGAATCCTAATCATAATTATTTCGAACCAATAATCGAGTAAAATTAAAGAATTCTAATAATTTTTGGGCAGAAAAAAAATTAGAAGAGGAATTTCAATCGTTTAATCAATAATCTTAAAACAATTTGAGCTGCGAAAAACTTAAGACAAACAATCCTAACTCTCTTAGTATATAGATATATCACAAATTATATATATATTATTCGTCTATTATACTATTCGAATATTATAATATTTTTATTTTAATACAAAATGTGAGTTATATTATAGTCATTTGACTCGTTTTAATGCAAAAAATCTATATTTAAAGTCTATATGTATATTTAAAATTTTTAAAAATAATATTTAATTAGAATTATAATTAACGACCTAATTAATGCGTAGTATGAGATAGAGAGATATGAGTTTTAGAATTGTGGAAGGAAAGAAAATTTTGCTCAAAATTTTGTTTTTTTTTTGGGGGGGAGGGAATTTCACATTAGGACCGTTGAATGAATATTTCGTCAAGCAATTTGAGCCACAAAAAATTAAAGACAAAGAAATCTAACTAAATTATTATATAGATATATAACTCATACATAACACAAAATGGAAACCGAAACCGAAGATAGAGTCTGTATACGTTATGTTACTTGTATATAAGTTGCTAACATGGTTGTGCTCAGTTTACAACAGTAGTTCATAACTGTGGTGATGCTGCAATAGCCCACATGAAATCATAAGATTTTAGTTATCTAAAAATATAATTTGTGTGTTTATGAAAAGTATAAATTAGAAGAAAATAAAGCATTACTGGAGTTTAAGATTTCTTGGAAACAAATATTTAAAATTAGACTTAATAGTATAAAGATAACTAAGATAAAATTTAATAATTTTTTATGAAGAAAAATAAGATTTCTTGACGAGTTGCTTGGATTAAAATTGATTCCTCCATCCCATATACCACGACATAAACAGGAACACCCTTATACCTGTGACCACCTCTAGTTGGTAGACGTTATTGATCTGAGGTCCATGCCGGAATGCCTGCCCACTGATTCCGGCGTTCGACAATGTCCCTCCGACCGTTAGACGAAGAAAATCAGTCCAAGACTTTGGAGACAGCCCATGTTTAAGACTTCATTCAGAATATTTACCCAAAGTTCACCGCCGGAAACATCCACATACGGCAGCTCTCCGGTGTAAAACTGCATTTCTGGTCCCCGGAGCGATTTCATATCGATCACGATCCCCCGATATGCCTGTGCTTGACCTTGAACAGAGTGGCCATTGCCTCTTGCTGCAACTGTGAGCCCTGAGGTGGTGCCCATTTCGTTAATATTTTTTATTATGGTGGAAATATCAGAAACTGTTTCTGGGTAGAGAATTGCAGAGGGAAGGAAGTGGTATATATTGCCGAAGTCCTTGGCTGCTTCGTGAATGTTTTCAAAGCTGAGATTGCCATCGAGGATCAATGGCTTTAGTGATAATTGAATGTTTGAGGAAGATGATGAGCGAGGAAAGATTGTAGCTTTGGCCAAAGGGTGGTGGGTAGAACAAGTCGATAGTAATACGACAATGAGAAATATGAGGATCATGCGGTTTTGTTTGAGCAAATTTTGGGGTGGTGTCTTCATTTCCTTTTTCTTTTTTTTATTTCTTTGATGGTATGTTTTGATACAAACCCACATACAACCAGAGAGAGAGAGAGAGAGAGAGAGCTCTGTTGTTTTATGTGTGAAACTAAAAGAAAAATCTGGATGTTGAGGAGGCTAAGGAAGCGAAGGGGAGGGGAGAATATATAAAGGAAGGTTGTTGGAGGATGCAACCTCATTACCTGCTTTTTTACTGCTATTTTTGGTAAACATATTCGTAATTTCGTATCCTTGGATGGTTGGGTGCATGCATAATTCTCAATTTTTTGCATAATGGGTTTCAGTCTCAAGATCATATTTTTGTATTCCATTGAAAGAGTCTCATATTTTTGGTGTGTTTGAAATAATTTACTCATATAACGATTAATCTTTTTTTTAATTCGATCAAAAAAAAGTTATTCATGTCGGGACTAGGACATTTATAAAGATAAATCTCTAATGGCCTGGGCCAATGAATTGCTAATATTAAAATTCAAAACGTTTAAATTTGCAGCTCGTCCATGTTATCACCCAAACTACCCTCGGTGATAGACACTATCTTTGAAACCAACACAAAATTTGACACAAAAGGGTTATAGTGTGACATGTTAGTGGGTCAAATATGGATCAATTAACAAGTCAATATGAACTCAGTTAAATACGATATAAAACCACATAAAACATACATGATATGAACATCGTAAAAAAGTTTTTTATATACAACATATATATTTGATACAAATTTGACTATAAACAATTTGGGAATGATTTAGAGCAAATTTGAATATGATACGATATGAGAAAACCATTGACAAGTATAAATTTTTATGATAAAAGATTGTCATTATACCAGTTGACTATACAGTCAATCTATCTACTTCGCTTATGACCTTATTCATGTTTTTACCATTTTGCATAGATACCAGAGTCCGTTTTCGGCATCAAAATCTCTGTTTACATGTTAGTCACATTTACTGTCCAGTAGAACTTCCATTTATGTGTCATATGCACTGTATTCTATAGCGTAGTAGATTCAAGTTCTTATTGAAGAGTGATTGTTGGAGGAGGCCCCTTACCAAGTCTCAAATTAGTGGCCCTGCTGGACCACAGAGAGTTCAGAAGAGTTGGATAAACACTGTGCTATCGAAAAAAAAAATTCAAATTTATATTGAACAATTAAAAGTGATAAATAGTTTTGTCGATTTAGAAGATGCAAAGATGTTTTTTTGCTAAGTAAGATACAAAGTTTATCAGATATAAAGGGTGAAATGGAGTGAGGCGTACTATAATGGGTCCTATTGGACATGTGATCATGCAGACTTTGTGGCTTGAGGTTTCAGGAAAGCCAAGGGCAGGTATTGATTGAAAACAAACGATCACAGCATGAACTTTTTTGAGTAACAAAAAGGCTGTGCTGTGTACGTGATTTAGTCTATAATAAGGTTTAATATAAGTAAGTAATGAGTAGTTTTATTCCTCTTTTGAAGACTTAGATATTCGAACTCGAGCCCGCAATCTCTTGGTTAGAAGGCTAAACACTTGTTAATACGCTAAGTTTCTTGTACTTGATGAACTTTTTAGTTGCTTGGTTTTCATGTGATGGCCGAAGTGTTGTTCAGTAGACAAGGTGGCTGTTGGGTTGGATTGTGAATAAGGGTAAGCGACAATTTTTGTTTATTTTGAGCTAAGTGAAACATTCATACGACTAACAAAATACAAATATTTTTTTAAATATTATGTGACCCAAAAATTTTGTTTTTAACGTTGGACCAAAAATTTTATTTTTTCAATGTTGGATTGAAAGTTTTTGTAATAGGTTTGGGTAGATTTTAATAAGTTTAGGTAGAAAATATTGGGCTCAAATTTTTTTGTTTTAAATGAGTTAAATTTTTTAATTTTTTTGGGTAAATAATGTGGGTCTAATATAAATGAGAAGGACACACATAATATATTATATAAATATATAATACATATACCTTACTAAAAAAATTTTTTTGATGGGGGGCACTTACCCATCCTAGCCCAGCTGTCCCTCCACTCTTGCGCAATCCCCTCTTTGTTCCTATCAAAATAAGAATAGAAAATTTTGAAAAACTCTTTCTTTTCATGATTATTGTAACTTAAATCTTAACGACTTTGGAAAATTGGACTAATGATTAGTGATTTAGTGGGCTGGCATTTATAACCTTGTATGAAAGTGATAATTTTTTTTTTTCACTGTGGACTTCAGCCCACCATAATCCACTAATGGATCCGTCCTTAATTGTGAAGTTACCCATGTAACTCCAGAAAGCGTGAAACTTCTGTAGTATCTTTGGTCACTGTAGCATAGGCATTTTTGGTTCTGCAGCACCCATGTAGGGGCCTGGAGGGGGAAGCAAGTTGAAGTGGACAGGGAGATGACAGTTGGAATGGGGGGGGGGGGGGGGAGGGGTTGGAACTAACTTTACTAAAAAATACAGCATGTTACAATTCATATTGGGTCACCTACGACTGATGAAATCGGGATGAGTCCCAAACAACCTTATTTTATCTTAACTTATACTAAATTTTAAATTATAATTTCATCTTTATTTTGTATTAACTTTCGCTATAATACCAAAAAGTAACTCTTAGTTACCGCACTATCAACTAGATTGGTCTTCGAGTCTTGTATCCCAGCAGTACTGGGACACCCTTAGATGATTCCCTCCAAAAAAAAGAAAAAAACAAATTTTTTTAAAAAAGGTTGAGTTCAGCAGCAGTTTTTGAAAAATATTTTCTAAATTATTGCCTCATCCCACTTCTTGTGGTAGGCAATATGTGTCATTAATTCAATCAAAAGCCAAAGTTTCATAAGTAGATAAAAAGTGGCCTTGTTTACTAATGGCATGGATCATTCTGGTATGTCGGACCGATGTTTCCATTAGTCTGGTAAAAAAACAACAACAAAAAGAAAAAAAATAATTCTTGAATTTTTCTTAACACTGTTGTGAGCTCACTGCAAGTTCAGTAGTTAACTCGAAATGAAAAAAGAAATGTAGATAGTTTAGTCGAGGTCAATTTACTGTAAATACTGTTGTGTGATAAATATATAGGTGTATGGTGTGGAATGAAAAACAAACCAACTATCAAACATTAATGAAATGAAAAACAAAAGGAAATGTTCCATTTCCATTTCATAATCCTTGAAGGCGGGAAAAACTTAACATATTGTCCTAAAAAAGAGGAATACATAGTTAGCTCTCTAGTCTATAATGGAGTCTTCCTTACAAGTTTAGCCACCGTCAATCATTGAGTCTAAAAATGTATCGTATTTGATATGAAACTAACTTACAGGTTTGAGGTAGTAGAGAAATGCACTCAAACTTATCAAACTCATCGGTGTCTTGTAGTTCTTGATTTTTGAGGCAAAACTTTGGGTGATAAAACTCAAGAGATTGAATTTAATCTTTTTTTTCTTTTTTTTTTGGGGGGAAGGGAAATTTAAACTCTTGACCTCAAGAAAGCAAAGCCTTCACAAGGTAAGGAATATCATTGGACCAAAGACCCGTTAGTTAATCAGTTTTGAACCAATTTACTAATATTTTTTTAACTTTATTTTCTCTTTACCATGAATTCTAACTTATTTCTAGCTTATTGTTGTTTACAAAAAGTGTAGTTCAATTAAAAAAAAAGCATAATTGCAAAGCACACTCTCAATAACAAATCTTTAAGGTTTATTTTGTAAATGCGCATTTATATTAGAAAACGTAGTGTTCAATCACATTTTTATATGCATAACGACAAACTAAAAATTAGGTAAAAAAACAGGATAGAGAGAGAGAGAGAGGAAAAACAAATGATTCAATTGTTGAACCCTAATTTTCTCATCCTTAAGCTGTCGACTTTTGATCATGAACATGTTTGTGAGCTAAGAATAAAGGAGATGAGAACATATTTTTAAAGCTGAAAGGTTAGTCTAGCAACTAGATTGGCTCTGGGAGACCTAGATCCCAGCACTAAAACGAAGAAAGATTGCTGCCCTTTGTATATTTATTGACTGACTTTTGGCTAAGTAGTTGCTATTGTGGAATTATTCGTCCACACATGTTTTTTACTTCTTATTGGGTACTTATGAGCACTTATCTAAAGCTTTTTCTAAAAACTATCCATTTCCTTTCCACTTCTGTAATGTCTCACATCCTTTCTTTGTGTGTGTGTGTGTGACAGAGAGAGAGAGAGAGAGAACCACCATCAACATTTTATGTTCCTATCTCCCCGTTAAAGAACCAACTCATTTTTTTTCTTCCAACTCCAGTGGCTTCAAATTTTTGAAACAGATGGATTTTGTTTTTTTTTATGCCACCTAGGGCGGGTTGGGGATTTGGCAGGACTCTTATTAGTATATATAACTAAAAGAAAAAAAGTACAAGGGAGGAGGACATAGAGCCATGCCTCCAGAAGTACAAAGTGGGAGTAAGAAAGTCAAAGTAAAAATAAGGTGGTGACTCACCACCAAAAACATGAAAAATAAATAAACAGAAAGTGGGGACTGTCATAAAGTAAAATAATTGAAAACATAAATAAAAATAAAATTCATCGACAAACGTGAGAAGTTTGTCGAGCATTCAAGACGAGAATGCCAACAATCTCAAAAGGAAAGGATGACGAATCAGGAAATTGCTGGTTGAGTTGCTGAGAGCAAGTCCAATTAGCCATGAAATCTGCAGCCTGATTCGCCTTTCGCAGGACATGGCAAACGCGAGCCAAGAGAGAAGCACACAAATGCCGAATCCGAGCAAGCAAGTAGGCATAAACCCCGTACCCAGTACCCTGAGAAGAAATTCAAGAAATCACTGTAGCTGAATTTGACTCCACTACCAACTCTGGAGTTCCCAAATCTGTGGCCAACTCCAACCCAGCACAAATAGCCTACAGTTCCGCATACAGAATAGTCTAATGCCCCAAAAACAAGCCAAAAGTCCTGAGAACCCGACCCTGGTGGTCCCGAATCACACCCTCTGTCGTAGACAGTCCTGGAT